CAGAGACCAGAGGGAGGGGACAGAGACCAGAGGGAGGGGACAGAGACCACAGAGATGGGGACAGAGACCAGAGAGATGGGGACAGAGACCAGAGGGAGGGGACAGAGACCAGTGGGAGGGGGACAGGGCCAGAGTGGCACCCAGCCTGGCACCAAGTGCAGACCTGGAAGATCTCAAAGCCGGCGATGTCCAGGATGCCCAGGAAGGAGGCGCCCTGGCGGGGACTGCGGTCCAACGCACGATTGAGGCGCAGGACCAGCCAGCGGAAGAGGCGCTCGTAGGTGGCCTTGGCCAGGGCCTCCAGCGCAAAGTCAGCCTGCGGGGGGCGGGGGGCACATGGTGAGGGCCCAGCCCGCCCCCGCAGCCCCAGCCCGCCCCCCAGCAAGGAGACACTGGTGTGGACGGGCCCCCATCACAGCTCATCGAGAATGATGATGTTAATGATGATGCCAACCAGTTCAGAGCCCTACTACGCACCAGGCAGCGTGTGAGGCGCTTGGGGGCACGTTAGTTCATTCATCTTCCCCCCATCCCTCGAACCAATTTCGACAGCATAACAGTTAAGAAGGTGGACTCTGGAGCCTGACAACACGGGTTTGAATCCTGGCTCTGCCCCTCAGAAGCTCTGCGTCCTCAGGCATGTGGCTAAACCTCTCTGTGCCTCAGTTTCTTCATCTGTAAAATGGATCCTAACAAGAGTACTTCAGCTGAGAGTGGAACCTGGCCTCTCACGTGACCCCCAATCTCTGACCCCCATGTCCCCCCTGTGTCTTCTTCACCCTAGTACTTTGTTTGAGTGCCCAGCCTGGGGCCAGGCAGAGGCCTCTGCCCGAAAGCTGGATTCTGAAAACCTCTAGCATGGCTTCACTTCTCCCCAGTCCCACCACCATCATCGCTTTCCTGGACTATGAGAGCAGCCGCCTTATGTCTCCCTGTTCCCGCCCGTGCCCCCGGGATCCAGTTCTCCATGCAGTAGACAAGGGGATCTTTATAAAAGACAAACCGAATCAGGTTGCTCCCCGGCTTAAACCCCCACTGGCCTCCTACTGCTCTCTGAATGAAACTCACCTCCTTTCTGTGGCTCCTAAGACCCTACACGATCTGTCCCCTTCCGACCTCTCTGACTGCGGCTTCTGCCACCCTCTGCCCCACTCTCTAGCCTCACTGACCACCTTGACAGTCGCAATTCACCAAGCCTGTTCCAGCCCCAGGGCTGTTCCCTCTGCCTCAAACCATCTGGGTCCAAACTCAAACATCACCTCCTCATGGAGGACTTTCCTGACCACATGAACACCCTCCTTCACAGAAGTCCTCACTGCTTATGTATCTTCTTTTATGATCTGTTCCCTACTTCGGCCTGAGCTCCACCAAGGCATGGTCTTTGTTTCCATTACGACTTTTATTCCTAGCACCAGAACCTGAGCAGGCAATGGAGCGAACAATCAGCCAAAGTTTGTTGAGTGACAGAAAAACCAGCATACGCTCCTTGAAGGCCCAGGACCCTGGCGCCTGGCTCTCCGTGCGCCCCGCCTGCCCCCCAGCCCCACCCACCTGTTCCTTGGTCTGAGCCTTCTGCACGTAGTCTCGGCCAACTTTGATGCGAGGGGTGAGCAGGGCGCGGGAGAAGTCCGTCACCCCTAGTCCCAGGAGACGGCAGAGCTTCTGTGCAGCTGAGGGTGAGAGGCACAAAGGTCTGATCAGCCCCAGGAGGCGGCAGCAGCCACTGAGCGCAGCGGAGGGGGTCGCCCCCACTGCTGGTGGAACAGACGAGGGGCCCAGCCTCTCCCACTAGTAAGTATTATAATCCTAAAAGTGTGTACGTCCTCTGGCCCAACAATTCTCTCTCAGGGACCCCAAGATGGGACAAATAATCCCGGAGGTGAGCAAAGACTGGACCAGGAGGATGTACATCACAGCCTTGTTGGTGATGGAGGAAAACAGGAAACAAGCTGAATGCCCAGCAACTGGGGATTGGTTAGGGAGTCAGGGATCCTCCATTTGAATACATGTTCTGCAGTCACTGAAAATTATTAGCACTCATTACACAGTACACTTAAGATGTGTGCATTCCACGGTTTGTATGTTTCACTCCAAAGAAAGAATTGTAAGCAAACACTGGACACCAGTAGGTGATATGCATATGCGAGTTGATGCATGTACATGTGAACTACTCATGTACATGCTGAAGTGCACGGAAATCTTCAAATTTGAAATGCACCAGACAACAGGATGGACAAACGATGTATGGAAAGATACACAATAAAGCAAGTGTAGAAAATGTCAATGGTAGAATCTAGGTGGTGGATATCTGGGTGTTTGCTCTAAAATCTTTCAACCTGTCTGTATGTTTGGACATTTGCTAATAAAATATTGGAGGGAAAGCTATTGGAGTAAAAACCCATGGAAGTGGCCAATAAATAAATATTTAAAAGCAACTTGCTCTTCCCTATTTTTGTAGAGAAAAAAATTCATAAAAAATGGTAATTAAGAAATGTTTTCCAGCTTCTGTCACTTCCATAATGGGAAAACCATTACTACAAATTCTTAGCACCGGCAGAAAAGAGAAAGGAAAAGAACACATCTAGAAGGAAAAACACCAAATAAACAGTGATTATATCTGAGACCGTCGTAGTTTCTAATTCTTCTATGGTGACTTTGCATGGTACGGAAAGTACTTAAGAATTGTAACAAGTGGCCTGAAGAACAGCAGGGAATGTGTCCTGGGGCGCTATGCTGCGAGTCACACGAATGTTCTGGAGGCTTCTAAAGCCTCTGCTGTGTCCTTTGGCCCATGGACTGGTTCTCCAATGCACGTTTGCAAACGCAGAGAATGAAACACCCAGGATTTCCCAGGAGATTAATTATGCTGACATATGGTTCTACCCACAGACCCCAGAGGAAGAACCCCAGTAACGTTCTAGTTAATAACCTTGAAACGTTACCGTCAGTGCATTGAGGGAAAAAAAGCAAATTTCAAAATGGTCTACAAGGTCTGACCCCAATTTTGTAGATTGAATGAATAAATAAATGTTCACACTTGCTGGGCGTGTGCACAGAGCCTCCAAGCACCACAGGTGACACTGCTGATCAACAGCGTGATGGGAGGGGCCCCTTTCCTCATATTTTCTGTAGTTGTATAGTTTTGGAAAATGAGCCCATAGGATTTTATAATCAGGATGGAAAGCTCTTGCTGTCTTGAGGGGGAAAAGGTGCAAAACGTGTTTCCACTTCTGTGACAATATTTCTGCTCTGATGTAGACAGAGAACAAAGCCCAGAGAGAAGTACCCCAAAATGTTGCAGTAATTACCTCTCAGGAGTATGACTGTGGGTCATTTCCCTGCTTTTATAGTTTTCTGTATTGCCAGATTCTCCCCCATCCAGCTTGTATTATTTTATGATCATAAAGAAGCAAAGCTATTTCCGTTTCGATAAAAAAGGAGTATCAACTATAATTCTGCTTTTGAAAAGCAAAAAAAAAAAAAGTATATATATATGCAGAGCACAAAGGCCAGGAAGAGAAAAGCCCAATGCTAATGGTTTTCTCAGAGGGGCCGGGATGACAGGGGATCTCCGGCACACCAGTGTTGTTCAAACCTTCGGCAGAGAGGACACCTTTTCGAATCAGGAAAAGAGTGGGAGATGACATTTTGGTAAAGGATCAGCACAGCTTGGAGGCATGCCTGGCTGGGGAGCGGGGAGTGGGGGGGATGCTCTGTCTGGGGGAACAGGGAACCGGGTCAGGTGGGTGGGCTGTAGGCCAGGTGGAGTACCTGTGTTGTCAGGCATGGAGGCTTGATCATTGTTCCGTTCTCTCTTCAGGACGATGTTGCCGAACTGGAGAACGGCTGAGACCATCCGTAGCATGGCTAAGGGGCAGAGAGAGAGAGCAATCGCATGGGGCTCCAGACCCTGATGTGTGGTCCTAACTAGCCTTTTAAAAATCTAGCTGAAAAGGGGCGCCTGGGTGGCTCAGTTGGTTAAGCGACTGCCTTCGGCTCAGGTCATGATCCTGGAGTCCCGGGATCGAGTCCCGCATCGGGC